GGCACCTCAGATGGCGGCCTCCATAACTCTTGTCACGTGACTACACGTTACGCATGTGCATTTAATATATCCCCATTCTCAAATACGCTGAACTATGCGATATCTTCATGATTTACGCCATATATGACGACACTTTCGATAGGAGACGAGGTAGTCAAACTACTCTATCACTAGCCTGTCAACACTGAGTTCGGAATCCACACGTGGCAGGTGCGCTCGACTAGAATCTTGATTAACTAGGATTATTGGTTTGCTTCCGAAGGTCGGAGATTCTCACTGAGCACTCCGATTTCCTCCACCAATAACAACTAACAGCCATGAAACAGCACAATAAAGCTGAAAGTGGCGTTCAACACCAATTAATCGATCAATCAATCGATTGGTGACGTAACTTATCCACAACCTTTATTTCCTGTCTGGGTGCCAAATGAAAATCGCATTCTGTACTAACCTCAACAATTAGGTATAAAAGTATTATGAGTGACGAATATGAAGCAGGTTATACCTGACAAGATCCCGAAGGGTTTTCATTGGTACATGTTTGTTTTACATGTCCTGATACTTTTCGGTACTCAGATATATAAATTTGAGGTGATATATGGTATGTTTCTAGTTGTTGGAATCGGACACATTTGCGGGAAACTGTATCCTTCTTTATGATGTTTTACAAGATTTTCCAAAGAATAAAACTAAAACTGTAAAGAAATGTTCAGTCATGTAGTAGATGCTTTTTAGCATAATATCAGCCAATATGCTACCTTTGGGAAAAAAGAAGGTAGAACAAGTAAAACTGCGAGCTACTGCTCACTGATAATACCCCCGCCCAAATATTTCGGTAAACAGGAAGTTGTTGAGTGATGAATCTGAAAACGCATCACACGGTATAGCCGACTTATATAAACCCTGGAACCAAATTTCAGAAATCCTTGTTTTGTAGTTTCTGAGAAAAATGCGACAAAAAATTTTCATGGGACGGATAGACAGACTGACGGACTGACAGATGGACGGATGGATGGATGGACGGACGGATGGATGGACGGACGGATGGATGGACGGAAAGACAGAAGTAAAACAGTATACCCCCACATTTTTAAAGCGGGGGTATAAATAAGATACCAGAGGCAATTTGAAAGCGACAATATTATTACAAAAAATGAAAAGACAAAGAACTGTCTTCGAAGCACTACATTGAAACTACAGCAACAAGAATAAAACCAAATCCGGGGTTACCTCCTTTTGTCTGGAAGGTGAGCATATCTTGCTTCGCATTTGACATGCATCGCGTTGTTCATGGTAATTTCCAATTCTGTGATTAGTCTCATTCGGGAATGTTACAATTTACTAAAAATAAGCTGGAATGTGTTGACGACAATTTGGACATATATTTGATAACTCTGACACTGTTATCATAATGGTCAATCATTATGATGGAATCCGTTAAGCTTTTATAGGTTTGACTTGAACTTTACCACTAGGAACTCTTTCTAGTAACATTCGTGCATGAACTTCGTACTTGATTTGGTCTTTAATCTTATTGATTCGATCGTAGACAAATCGCGCGTCTGGCATTCAAAAATATAAAACTGGTATCCTTGATGAGTTTCTTTTTCTATCAAAGACATCATGATAGGAAGCCCAGACTATGGTTTGTTAAGAAGCTATACAAACAAGAAGTTAACTATTTCATTTCCCTTCAAACGGCATTATCTTTCTATCTAAAGTCATATGAAACTTCATATTAAAAAAAAAAATTGATGCATATGTTTTTTTATAACTAAATGGCCAGTTTTTATAATAAAACTTATGTACATATACTTTTTTCTCAAGAAAATTCTTTAATTTGTCCAAATTTAGAAGAAAATATTCGCCGATATGTTTTCCGTATGCTGTAAACTCAGCGTGACCTTTCTCGTAAAAATCCGTTGATCGCAATATGCATCGCTCCGTCATCGAAATAAACTATATCTTATTGTACATGTTATACACGTGCTTACCTCAATATCCATGCTTCTTTGTTAATTGTTTACTTAGATGACAATCGGTTAACTTCGGCTTCAAAACACGACAATTAATTAGCTGCCATATTTTCACATCCTGACAGACCGAATGAAATATTTTTTTGACCATTATACGATATGGATACGTAAAAAATGATGAAATCGTGCACAGAAGACTAAGTTTATGATATATACATGCATTGATTCAAGAATTGGATAAACATTATTTTTCACCAGTCACTCGTATCATATGACTTTAAGGCCTACTTTTGAGTTGATGAATTATGAAAAGAAAATTGATGTTTCAAGGGAAATGAATCATTACTTTATAATTGAACAATAAATAGTCAGGTGTTTCGTATTAAAAAATGAAATAATTGAATACATAAAAATTAAATGTCCACTTGTTACGTTTAAAATTAAATTCTTTTCTTCAATACATGTTGTAATCGGTGTTAAATTTGGTAGAAAACCCTGATTGTTTCGAACACAAAGGGACTGACTGCTGGACTGGTGATACCCAAGAGGATGAGACAATCACCACATGCAACAGAACATCAAATATAACAGGCTTATAAATTGGTAAGTCATTACGACAGTCGTTATCATATAAGAAAATTGTTTTTTAAAGCATAATCTAGATATAAAAATGATATCTATAGTTGATATTTTTATGTTATCTTAACATTTCCCCATGGACAAATATACATGGGCATAATCACTTATCGCATTTTGCCACTCGTTCCTCAAGCTTTTGTATCTTAGTTGCCGTATTGTTTTCTTCTTCCCGACTAGAATCGATGGCATGCATCGTTTTCTCTGTATTTTCTTCCAATTTCTGTATCTTTGCAGCAGTATGCTCTACTAATTCCTGATTTGACTCCACAGCCTGTATGGTTCTCTCTGAACTTTCCTCTAGTTTCTTCTCTATATTAGCTGTTGAGTGCTCTACTGATTTCTGATTTGACTCCATAGCCTGTATGGTTCTCTCTGAATTTTCCTCTAGTTTCTTCTCTATATTAGCAGCAGTGTACTCAACAGCTTGTAATGTTCTCTCTGCATTTTCCTCCTGTTTCTTCTCTAACTTAGCAAAAGTTATCTCTACTGATTCTTGACTTGCTTCCACAGCTTTTAATGTTTTCTCTAAATTTTCATCTAGTTTTTGTACTTTTGAAGCAGTGTGCTCTACTACTTTTTTACTTGACTCCACTTCTTGTAATGTTCTCTTTGAACTTTTCTCTATTTTCTGTATCTCGGCGGCTGTATGCTTTTCTGCTTCACGACTAGATTCTATATGGTCATTCAGTCCTGATACACCCTAATGAAATAAATGTACACGTATAGTAACAGAATGGCAAATAAAATGTATTGAACTGAAAACATCAAAAGCCGAGAAGGGAGCTGTTAAAACGAGATTCATTATATTCGAAATACAATACCAGTAGTTTGAAATTCGAAAAATCAAAATGTTGATTTATCGAAAGATGCATTTAGAAAAAAAGCTCTTAAGATGTGAAACTTTTAAAGACATTTACATATCTTTTGATAAATCGATCCTTAATGTTGTTAACGTTTTGCTGTCAGATGTGAATGAATTAACAAATGTAGTAAAAAATAAATAACAAAAAGTGTTCAAAGCAAAACTTTGCAGAGTTAGGGTAAAATCCTGGAAATAAGGCTAATTCTCCCTACCACTGGCTCTGTGTTCAACCCTCCTGTATTAATGTAGAACAGAATTTAACTCTATTATGTCGGTATGTGTAATAGATAACAAATGTCGTAGGTATAAAAGAGGGGCGATAGATACCAGAGGGACATTCAAACACATAAATCGAAAATAAACTGAAAACGCCATGTCTCAAAAAGAAAAAAATACAAACAACAAATAGTACACAAAACACAACATAGACAAGAGGCTGTCAGAGAGACAGCAAACCGGATTTTCCTAAAGAGATCGAACCCTGAACAGTTGAGTAAATATAGACACAACATTTAAGCTTAAAACAGCTCCGAATTTGGACTCTGATTAAATATTTGATACAGCATGGGTTTGTGACACAAAATAAATGTGGTCAAAGAACTGAAAAATTTGAAATTGAACATTTACCTATTATGGCCCAATATCCAAAATCTAAGTACATTGCTAGAATCAGCATATTAAAGAACCCCAAGAATTCAATTTTGGAAATAACATGTCAAGTTGGTTCAATATGCAACATTCAACATTCAATTTTTTTTTTTTTTTTTTCTTTTTGGTACTATTCATTTTCAAGATTCAACTTTCGATTTCAACATTCAACATTCACAAATTTTTTTTTTGTTTAACTTTCTTTTCATCTTTTTTTTTCGACATTCAACATTCGTTTTCAACATTCGATTTTCAACTTTCAATATTCGATTTTCAACATTCAACATTCGTTTTCAACATTCAACATTCGTTTTCAACATTTAACATTCGTTTTCAACATTCAACATTCGTTTTCAACATTCGATTTTAAACTTTCAACATTCGTTTTCAACATGTTCAACATTCAACATTCGTTCTCAACATTCAACATTCGTTTTCAACATTCGATTTTCAACTTTCAACATTCGTTTTCAACATTCAACATTCGTTTTCAACATTCAACATTCGTTTTTTCAACATTCAACATTCGTTTTCAACTTTCGATTTTCAACATTCAACATTCGTTTTTAACATTCAGCATTCGATTTTCATCTTTCAACATTTGTTTTCAGCATTAAACATTCGTTTTCAACATTCAACATTCAAAATGTTTTTTTGTTAAACTTTTTTTTCAATTTCCTTTTTTTTCAACATTCTTTTTCAACATTCAACATTCGTTTTCAACATTCGTTTTCAACATTCAACATTCGTTTTCAAAATTCGATTTTAAACTTTCAACATTCATTTTCAACATTCAACATTCGTTTTCAACATTCATTTTCAACATTCAACATTCGTTTTCAACATTCGATTTCGTTTTCAACATTCAACATTCGTTTTTCAACATTCGATTTTCAACTTTCAACATTCGTTTTCAACATTCAACATTCGATTTTCATCTTTCAACCTTCGTTTTCAACATTCAACATTCGTTTTTAACATTCAACATTCGTTTTCAACAATCAACATTCGTTTTATACATTCAACATTCGTTTTCAACATTCAACATTCGTTTTCAACATTCGATTTTCAACATTCAACATTCGTTCTCAACATTCAACATTCGTTTTCAACATTCGATTTTCAACTTTCAACATTCGTTTTCAACATTCAACATTCGTTTTCAACATTCAACATTCGTTTTTAACATTCAACATTCGTTTTCAACAATCAACATTCGTTTTATACATTCAACATTCGTTTTCAACATTCAACATTCGTTTTCAACATTCGATTTTCAACTTTCAACATTCGTTTTCAACATTCAACATTCGTTTTCAACATTCGATTTTCAACATTCAACATTCGTTTTCAACATTCGATTTTCAACATTCAACATTCGTTTTCAACATTCAACATTCGATTTTCATCTTTTAACATTCGTTTTCAACATTCAACATTCGTTTTCAACATTCGATTGATTCAGTTAGACAATTATGTATCATTCGTATCATTATTGATTTTCCTCCAAGATCAAATAAATGTCGTTTTATTGTTATTTTTTTCCTCACCTTAGCAGCAATATCCAGAACTCGCCCAATTATGGAGTATAAATTTTTCAACTAATATGATGTTGAATGGCTTGCAGCTGCTACTTAAACTTTGTAAAACGTCATCAGAGTCTGCGGAAGAAATGTTAAATGTTGAAAACGAATGTTGAAAGTTGAAAATCGAATGTTGAAAACGAATGTTGAATGTTGAAAACGAATGTTGAAAACGAATGTTGAAAACGAATGTTGAAAATTGAAAATCGAATGTTGAAAACGAATGTTGAATGTTGAAAACGAATGTTGAATGTTGAAAACGAATGTTGAAAGTTGTAAACTTTCAACATTCGTTTTCAACATTCAACATTCGTTTTCAACATTCAACATTCGTTTTCAACATTTAACATTCGTTTTCAACATTCAACATTCGTTTTCAACATTCAACATTCGTTTTCAACATTCGATTTTCAACTTTCAACATTCGTTTTCAACATTCGATTTTAAAAATCGAATGTTGAAAACGAATGTTGAATGTCGAAAACGAATGTTGAATGTTAAAAATCGAATGTTGAATGTAGAAAACTAATGTTGAATGTTGAAAACGAATGTTGAAAGTTGAAAATCGAATATTGAAAACGAATGTTGAACATGTTGAATGTTGAAAACGAATGTTGAACATGTTGAATGTTGAAAACGAATGTTGAACATGTTGAATGTTGAAAACGAATGTTGAATGTTGAAAACGAATGTTGAAAGTTGAAAATCGAATGTTGAATGTTGAAAACGAATGTTGAATGTTGAAAACGAATGTTGAAAGTTGAAAATCGAATGTTAAAAACGAATGTTGAATGTTGGAAACGAATGTTGAATGTTGAAAACGAATGTTGAAAGTTGAAAATCGAATGTTGAATGTTGAAAACGAATCTTGAAAGTTGAAAATCGAATGTTGAAAACGAATGTTGAATGTTGAAAATGAATGTTGAAAACAAAAACAAAAATTGCAAAAAAAAATAATTTTGTATGTTGAATGTTGAAAACGAATGTTGAATGTTGAAAGTTAAAAATCGAATGTTGAATGTTGAAAACGAATGTTGAATGTTGAAAATCGAATGTTGTAATCGAATGTTGAATATTGAACCAACTTGACATCCGTATGGAAATAACTCAAACTTTATTTCCATGAACCAATAATGTAAATCTAAAATTAAATATGATTTAACCATAGACTCTTAAATTAGATATGATGTAAAGAGATATGATGTTATATTTATTTTTAAATTATAATCAAATATAATTAATAGTTTTCTAATAAATCTGTCACTTCAATTATAATTGGGTGATTGCATTGACAATTACCAGATGTGTGTTATCTTATCACTTACTGTAATCAAACTTTATATATATAGTTGATAGTTCCCAATATTTTTTCTTTCATTTGTATTTGTAACATACTAATATAGATCTGCAACTTATCTTATCTTAATTTTAACTTTTTAACTTATAAATAATAGATTATTATCTAATGAATTTTCAAATCTGGAACCCCAAACAGATCAAGTAAAAATTAAAATTAACAGACACAACAAATCAATTATATACATATAGCACTCAGAAAATTAGTGTTTACAGAATAACAAACACACCATAAAATTCTTCAAACAATTTCCCAAAGAAAAGAAAAGTTAATAATGAAAATCATACTTGCAAATCTGAAGGGTTATTTCCCTTTGAACAGAACTATGGTTTAACATGGTACTCTAACATTACATATATAATTATTAGTAATGTAATTAACTTCAAAATGTCTATCTCTTAAAAACCTATAAAACTTATCTGTAATTATCTTCAAAGTGGCTAATAATGAACAGTAACTTTCAAACTTTATTTATACAGTCCTACTAGCAAATTTCAAATAAATCTGTCACTCCAATGATTATCATATGCTAAGATATTTCCCAGATCTAATTAATAATGAAAATCATACTTGCAAATCTGAAGGGTTATTTCCCTTCGAACAGAACTATGGTTTAACATAGTACTCTAACATTACATATATAATAATTAGTAATGTAATTAACTTCAAAATGTCTTATAATATAGCTTAAATTCATCACCACTTAGGAAATAGAAAATTTTCAAATAAATCTGTCACTCCAATTATAATTGTGAGATAAGACATTTACCATATGCTTATGATTACAAGAGAAAAATATTTTAAAATACCACTATGGATATTAAAAATAGCAATAACTCAAAAAGGAGAAATACTACAATCGTGAAAATTAAACTTGAACTGCATTTAGTCACGAGAAACAACATATCTAAATTTGAAAAAAAAATCATCACAGCATTTTCATGTTATTGAAGAGACACTGTTTGGCAGCCGCCCGCCCGTCGTACATCCCCAAATCAATAACCGATATTTCCTTCGAAAATCCGGTTAAAAACTGAAGACTAAGCAACAAGAACCCCACCAAAAACTGGGGGTGATTTTAGCAGCTCCGGAAGGGTAAGCAGATTTATAAGGAAACAAACTAAAAAACACCATTACTATAGGAAGAAGTATTCCGTTTCTGAAAGTAAACTTAAATTTCTAAACCACCTGAAATCATTTCATGCCGTTTTGTTAACTAATATGCTTCGCTGAACTGCAGGGCAGATGTCATACAACGTCATAAACAGTAGCAATGTCACAAACAGAAGCAACTTCAAAAACAGTACAGTAAGAAACGATCGTGTGGGATGTCTAAAATAAACTTGAACAAAATTTACTGCAGAAAAAAACAACAAAAGGAGAATTAAAGATTTTCTCCAAACTATATAGGTGGAGGTAAGATACGCTCAACTATTTGACCTTTGAAAATGCAAAACTTGGTAAACTTATTATTTAAGACTTTCAAAAACTGTGTGAATTTTATTGATGAACATGCAGGTTGATATATTCTGTACAGTTTAGTACAGGAAGGTCAATTGTGATATCGTTATAACGTCATAAATTTGTATTAATTTACATAGTCATCTTTACCTAAAAAGGTCTTTTATACACAGTAAGTCATTTGGTCAAATATCGTTTAGGGTAAAGCTATTGATCATAGCTCATTAAATATTAATGACATGATTGCAAACTGAAGCTATTTATGCAATATGTGTTGTTTTGCACTGAATGAAAGAAGCTTGATGCCCTAATGCCAAATGAATGTGTAATACAAAATCAAAAATATAAATACCAATATCAATAATCGCTACTTAATTTACACTTTAAGTACTTTTATTGTGTGGTGCTTTATAAGTACAAACACTTTATCTAGATTTTTAAATATGGTACTTTATTAAGGTACATTTTCAGCGCTTTAAAAAGTTATAGCCCATAATGGTGCTAAATAGTTCATACAAATGAGCACCAGCATAATACACAGTTATAGAACAACTTGCAGATATCATACAAGGATTTCAGTGTCCGCCATAATTAAGGGAATCAGAGATCAGAACTCTCTTCTGTTTGTCCAATTCACAAAGAGTTCAACGTATCTATTGAGTGAGCCCTACATATATAGCATTTTCAAAAGTGTGTCAAAACTAAGTATGGCTAAATAATAAATCTTTTGTATCTGAAAATACGGCAAAAGTTCCATGTCGGCCAGTTTCGAATTTAACAGGCTATCGGTAACCATCTCATCCGGTATGATCCGTTTTGTAGAACATGTTATATTAAATCTGATATAAACTATACAGTGTCATTCTGCAGTCAGCAAAGGTAGAAACTCATATCACATGCTTAATACAACTTTTAAAATTGCTATCAAAACAGATCAAACAGAATCAGACTCGACCAAGTCACAATCTTGACCATGTAAACTGTGCATAATTTTCAAGGTAAATAAACCATGTCTGAGGTAAGCGGCCAAAAATAATATCCATTGATATAAGATATGATAATGTTTATACATTAAGGTGACAGTAGTTAAACAATGTTAAAATCTCCAGAATCATACAACTGCATACCAAATATTATAATTATAAATGATTGAACATTTAGTTTCCTTTAAACTGACACTGTCAAAACAAAAAATATACATACGTTTCAAAGTCCATGAATGACGGGTGAAATAATCTTCACGGCAATGGATGTGCTAATGCCAATGTAACTACATATGAAGAATGATTAACTTGTATGTGTGTCACGTGTGGAACAGGATCTGTTAACGCATCTAGACACCTGAAATCATCCCCGGTTTTTGGTTGGGTTCGTTTCGCTCAGTTTTTAGTTTTCTATGTTATGTTTTGCATACTACTGTTTGTCTTTTGATTGTTTTTCGTTTTTTTTTTTGCCATAGCGTTGTCAGTTGGTGTTCCACCTGTAGTGTGTTTGAATAACCCTTTTGTCCGTCTTTATATTACCATTGATGGTTTCCCTTAAGCTGACATAATCACATTTGTTTACAATTTGTTGGAGACGCTGATGACAAAAGCCGCCGGAAGCAAAATCCTTCGCATCCTTTCCTCAGTCATGGCTAGACGAAAATCAAATGCCATTGTTAATCTGCCTTTAAATAGCGGTATACTACTGTTGCCTTTATTTGGTTTCTGTTAAAACTTTGAAAAGAGAGTCAAAACACATGTGAAGTAGCAAAAGTAAAATCACAAAAATACCGAACGCCGATGAAAATTCAAAACGGAAAGTCCCTAATCAAATGCAAAATCAAAAGCTCAAACACATCAAACGAATGAATAAAAAATGTCATATTCATGACGTAGTACAGGTATTTTCTTATGCAGAAAATGGTGACTTAAACCTGGTTTTATGGCTAGGTAAACGTCTCACTTGTATGACAATCGCATAAAATTCCATTATGTTGACAACGATGTGTGAACAAAACAAACAGATATAATAGGTAAAAATGTCAAAAATTGGGAACAGCAGTCAAC